TGATAGGTTGCTGACATCATAGATGCCTCCAAGGCATAATACAACTCACCTTGACACGAGAAGTCATGACATTTTGTGTGACAGGTTCTTGCTTGGCAGTTGACAACGTACATCACTGTCGCAAACGACATTCACATACATGCGCATACAGAGACAAAATATGGAAAAAAAAAGTTAGCAACGAAGACACATCTTTGATTCGAGTGCTTTAGATTTGTCACATACACATACACACACACACACACAAATAAATCGATAGATAGATAGATAGATAGATATATAGATAGATAGATAGATAGATGGAGATATATATATATATATATATATATATATATATAGAGAGAGAGAGAGAGAGAGAGAGAGAGAGAGAGAAAGAGGTGATCGCCCCACCCTGCCACCACACCAAACTTCTCCTCTGCCACTACATCCACTTCCTTCCCCCTAGACCCTCAGTGCGTTTCGTTAACGAAACACCGAATCTTAGGGGGATATGACATCAGAATACAACTAAGTAAATCCCGAAAAACCCGAAATGTGTTTCGGTAACGAAACACCGAATTTGTGGGAGGTCTACTAGTGGGATACAACTAAGGAAACCCCAAAAATCCTGAAGTGTGTTTCGATAATGAAACACCGAATCTCATGAGGATATAGCATTAGGATTAAACTAAGTGAATCCCAAAAATCCCGAAGTGCGTTTCGTTAGCGAAACACCGAATCTTAGGGGGATATAACATTAGAATTTAACAAAGTGAATCCCAAAAATACCAAAATGTATTTCGAAAACGAAACACTGAATCTTATGGGGATATAACATCGGAATACAACTAAGTAAATCCCAAAAACCCCGAAGTGTGTTTCGATAACGAAACACCGAATTTGTGGGGGGTCTAACACTGGGATACAGCTAAGGAAACCACGAAAATCCCGAAGTGTGTTTCGTTAACGAAACACCGAATCTTAGGAGGATATGACACCAGAATACAACTAAGTAAATCCCGAAACCCCCGAACTGTGTTTTGGTAACGAAACACCGAATTTGTGGGGCGTGTAATCGTGGGATAGAACTAAGGAAACCCTGAAAATCCCGAAACGTGTTTCGATAACGAAACACCGAATCTCAGGGGGATATAACATTAGGATTTAGCTAAGTGAATCCCGAAAATCCCGAAGTGCGTTTCGCTAGCGAAACACCGAATCTTAGGGGGATATAACATTGGAATTTAACAAAGTGAATCTCGAAAATCCCGCAGTGTGTTTCAGTAACGAAACACCGAATCTTATGGGCATATAACATCGTAATACGACTAAGTAAATCTCGAAAACCTTGAAGTGTGTTTCGGTAACGAAACAGTGAATTTGTGGGGGGTCTAATAGTGGGATACAGCTAAGGAAACCCAGAAAATCCCGAAGTGTGTTTCGGTGACGAAACACCGAATCTCAGGGGATATAACATTAGGATTTAACTATGTGAATCTCGAAAATCCCGAAGTGCGTTTCGCTAGCGAAACACCGAATCTTAGGGGGAGATAACATTGGAATTTAATAAAGTGAATCCCGAAAATTCAGAAGTGTGTTTCGGTAATGAAACACCGAATCTTAGGGGGATATAACATCGGAATACAAATAAGTAAATCCCGAAAACCCCGAAGTGTGTTTCGGTAACGAAACACCGAATTTGTGGGGGGTCTAATAGTGGGATAGAACTAAGGAAACCCCGAAAATCCCGAAGTGTGTTTCGGTAACGAAACACCGAATCTCAAGGGGATATAACATTAGGATTTAACTAAGTGAATCCCGAAAATCCCGAACTGCATTTCACTAGAAAAACACTGAATCTTAGGGGGAAATAATATTTGAATTTAACAAAGTGAATCCTGAAAATCCTGAAGTGTGTTTCGGTAAGGAAACACCGAATCTTATGGGGATATAACATCGGAATACAACTAAGTAAATCCCGAAAACGTCAAAGTGTGTTTCGGTAACGGAACACTGAATTTGTGGGGGGTCTAACTGTGGGATAAAACAAAGGAAACCTCGGAAATCCTGAAGTGTGTTTCGGTGACGAAACACCGAATCTCAGGGGGATATAACATTACGATTTAACTAAGTGAATCCCGAAAATCCCGAAGTGCGTTTTGCTACACCGAATCTTAGGGGGGTATAACATTGGAATTTAACAAAGTGAACCCGAAAATCCTGAAGTGTGTTTCGGTAACAAAACACCGAATCTTAGGGGGATATAACATCGGAATACAACTAGGTTAATCCCGAAAACCCCGAAGTTTGTTGGGGGGTTTTACAATGGGATACAGCTTAGGAAACCCCGAAAATCCCGAAGTGTGTTTTGGTGATGAAATACCGAATCGCAGGGGAATATAACATTAGGATTTAACTAAGTGAATCTCGAAAATCCCGAAGTGCGTTTTGCTAGCGAAACACCCAGTGGTGACGATTGTGCTGAGCGGTAGCGATTCTGCTGTTGGATATAATTTCGAGAAACGGGTAAGTAAAATCCCGAAATCCTGAAGTGCGATTTTGGTAGCAAAATCCCGAACGCACATGCGGATATAACTTCGAGAAATGACTAAGTTAAATCCCGAAATCCCGCAGTGCGATTTCGGTAATGAAATCCCGAACGCACGTGCGAATATAACTTCGAGAAACGGCTAAGTAAAATCCTGAAATCCTTAAGTGTGATTTCGGTAGCGAAATCCCGACGCACGTGCGGATATAACTTCGAGAAATGACGAAGTGAAATCCCGAAATCCCAAAGTGTGATTTCAGTAGCGAAATCCCGAACGTATGTTCGGATATAATTTCGAAAAACGACTAAGTGAAATCCCGAAATTCCGAAGTGCGATTTCGGTAGCGAAATCCCGAACGCACGTGCGGATATAACTTCAAGAAATGACTAAGTAAAATTTTGAAATCCCGAAGTGCGATTTAAGTAGCGAAATCCCGAACATACGGCTGGATATAATTTCGAGAAATGACTTAGTAAAATCGCGAAATCCTGACGAATGATTTCGGTAGTGAAATCCCGAATGTACGTTCGGATATAATTTTTCGAGAAACAACTAAGTAAAATCCTGAAATCCTGAAGTGCGATTTCGGTACCGAAATCCCGAACGCACGTGAGAATATAACTTTGAGAAACGGCTAAGTAAAATCCCGAAATCCTTAAGTGTGATTTCGGTAGTAAATTTCGACGCACGTGCGGATATAACTTCGAGAAATGGCTAAGTAAAATCCCAAAATCCCGAAGCGCGATTTCAATAGCGAAATCCCGAACGCACGTGAGGATATAACTTCAAGAAATGACCAAGTAAAATCCCGAAATCCCGAAGTGCAATTTTCGGTAGCGAAATCTCGAACGCATGCCTGAAGATAATTTCGAGAAACGGCTAAGTAAAATCCCGAAATCTCGAAGTGCGATTTCAGTAGCGAAATCGCGAAGGTACGTTCAGATATAATTTTTCGAAAAACGACTAAGTAAAATCTCAAAATCCCGAAGTGTGATTTCGGTAGCGAAATCCCAAACGCAAGTGTGAATATAACTTCGAAAAATGACTAAGTGAAATCTCGAAATCCCGAAGTGTGATTTCGGTAGCGAAATCCCGAACGTACGCCTGGATATAATTTCGAGAAACGGCTAAGTAAAATTCCGAAATCCCGAAGTGCAATTTCAGTAGCGAAAATCCCGAACGTACACCTGGATACAATTTCGAAGAACACTAGGTTGGCTTTAGAGAGTTGTTCATCACGTTAATGGATATTTCGGGTTTCAAAAACCACGAATTCGCAAACATGGATTCATTTTCATGAACACAAAGCACGAATTGAGGTTTAAAAACCACGAATTCGCTAACATTTCGTTTACAAGCTTCGCTATCCAATTCGGCGAATTTTATGGGGTCCATTAACCACAAGTGGCCATTTTGGGCCAATCCCCTTCTAACCTTGGAGATTCGCCCCGCTACGATCCTCCCTTCCATCCTTCTTACATAAATTCGCGACGGTCAGTGTGTGCATGCTAACGGTGAAGTGTCAATGAGCATGGTATTATAGCAACCGAAAGTTTGAGATCTATAACGAGATCTCACTAATGCTAGCGCAAGCATGGCAGGAGGAGGCCGAGACCGACGACACCTTAGTTGGTCTCCTCTGTGGAGAGATCGTCGAAGGAGGTCGAGTGACTGTCGCCTACGAGATCCTCACGTTTCTATCTTAGCTTGTTGACGATCTGCCAACGAGCAGCATCTCTTTCAATCCGAGCGATCCTAGCCAAGTTCCACCTGTCAGTGTGGAGAGAATGTTGATGCCAATGGTAATTTGGGCAAATTGTACAGAGGATTTCGGTCAATACTTGAGCGATCACGATCCTACGGCTTTGTGCTATCTGGACCTGAACGAACTCGCGCCGGATAATTCCAATCTTGAACGAGTTCTGGAATGCTCATCTGGCACACGTAGGTGCCATCGAACGACGACCCAGGTCGCATAGCCATCGTGCGGAAGAAGAGTCGGAAGGCCGATCAACGACGAAGGAAGAAGAGGAGGCATCAGCGCCCAAGCCCTAGGAGGCTCCTCTGGCCCGAGTGCCACTTGGCGCACGAGGACTCGAGGAGGATCTGCCCTGAACCCCGAAGTCCCCTCCGACGCCGCCAGCCGTCACGATGGCGCAAAATCCTCCCGTCGGCGCCGCCGCTCTCGCTCGACATCTCCTTCCTCCTCCTCCCCCTCCGCGCTTTGTCCCCGTCCTCCTCCCCGCACGGGCGCTCCGTCCTCGTCCAATTTACCGCCACCCTCTTGATTATCTTTCCTTTTCTCCTCTCCTTCATGTCCAATTCCACCTACCCTATCTCATATTCACCTACCAGCTCTTCTGCCACCACTTTGTTGTGCGACTCTTGTGCACGGTCTTTCCACACCGCTCCCCCTCCTTCCCTCTCAACATCCTTATTTTCAGTGTCGCATGGAGGCAACACAACCATATGGAGTTGTATTGCATCGTCTCCGGAACTTTTCCCGCGGTAGAAAACTATGAATCTCTACGCAATAATATCCTCCGGACTATCCCGACCCTATTTCCCGACTATCTCCTCTCCCATTTTCGACCCAACCATCGATTCCCTCGAGTGCACCGAATCGTCCGCTTTGTCGATCTCGGTGATGAAGCCTCCGACTTCTTTCCTCCCCTCCCAACTAAATGGCCTAGACCGCTCCATCACCCTCTCCTCGATTTCTAGTGATGAGGCAAGACCAGGCAAGATTTGGCGGACCATGGTAGCGTCATCAAAGAAGCAAGGAGTTGCACATGACAGGGCTGAATGATAGAGAATCTGCAAGCCAACACGAATTGTGAAGATCCTGCAAATCGAATTGAAGTTGGCGTCAACAATGGATTCTGGCCCGATCTGGTGTTGATACGAAATCCTGTCCGTTCTAATACGCTCGATTCCTCGTTCATCCCGTCGCCCCCTTCTTCCTCCTTCGACATGTAAATTGGCTTTCGTGCATGCAATCAGGAGATCGCATAATTTTGGAACCCACTGAGCGTCACATATGTGACGCGCCAACTTCCGGACCTGCGATATCTTTCGTCCCCCCCCCCCTTTTGTTTTCCTTTTGTCGAATTTTGTTAACAACCCGACGTGGCCTCTTTTTGTATTTTCATGAGGGACCTTCAGATCGACTTTTGAAATTTTACCTTTTGCAAATTTGGGAATTACAAGGGAATTACACGTACCTTAGCGAGCGTGCTAGGAAATTGGGTCGACGGCTAGGAATTCTAGAGCGGGCGGGATCTGGCGTGTCCTCTCTTGTGCATAAATGTTCTCAGCCTCGTCTTGGAAAACTCTGGGAATTTTCGCATTAATTTGAATAGGCATAGGACTTTCTCCCACACTCGCTGTACCACGTTGATATGGTACTTTTTAATTTGAATTAGCTGTAACCGTTTCGCTTGTGATACTGTTTTGTCTTTGCGTCGGCGCCATGCATATGAGTCTTTCCTCCCCGCTTCCCACGCTGCCCTCAACACTACCTTCTTCGCACTCACGCTCCTTCGTTCTCTGTAACCGTTTTCCATCCCCCCTTCCCCTCGCGTGCCTTTTCTCTCCTTCTTGATCGTCTGAATCTCGGTTTCGTTTTGCGCTATTCTTTGCGCTTTTCTTCTTCCCGCTCCGATCCCCGTGCCGAAAAACCCTGTCGACCCCCTATTACTCCCTCTAGCCAAGGAGACGCGCCGTGTAAGAAGGAAACTCCTGGTACACGACGATTCTGATTGGCTACAGCTGGGATTCAAAGGATCAACATGGCTTTCGTCGGGCAATCCCTGAGCCTTTCCCTACTCCTCCCTGTCTCAGTCCTAGCCCTTCCTAGCGTCTACCTTCTCTTCCGCAGCTATAAATTCCGCAAGCGCCCCCAAAAATCTCTCTCTCGACTCATCAGCCCGCTTCCTGGAAGCTGTGGCTAGGTGGCATGAAGGAAGGTGCGAGTTGGAAAGTCCTGACGAGCTGGCTGTGGTCTTGGCGGTTGGCATGCTGGATCGTGCGACGGACTGTGGGATCCGAGCAGGGCCGTGCAGAGGCTAAGTCGGCGGGGTGACGATCATCATGGTGGATTGGCACGTGAGGGTCGGGATCGTCAGTGCAAGTGAGACGTTCGAGTAGGAAGTGAGTGAGTGCATGGCCTGGGGCTATGGTGGAATTTTATAGCAGAAGTGCTTTCTTTCCTTTTTTGTCCCAAAAGTTGTATCTTCGAGTGTGAGTTTTGATCGCTCGGCTTTTAAGCCGGGACATCCCTGGATATGATCACCTGACATTCTGTGATTGCTTCCTACCCGTTCCTCCCTCCTGGTCTGTGTCCATACTCTCTCCCTCTCTCTCCTCCAGGTCACGACATGTCATAATGGATGAATCGTGGTAACTTTGCTTCTCCCACTTCGGAATATGCATGCAGTGAGTCGTGATTAGAGATTTTGTTATAGCATGATTGCAAGGACGATTGGATGAGTGACAGAATGATCTGGTTGCCCGGAGTGACAAACAAATGATGTATGATTAAATATGTTTTGAACTTGCCCTTGCTGCCATGTGGACTGACGACCCCAACCCGACCGGCCGCCAACTTTCCATACCCCCACCACGCCCCTTCCTGTACAACGAGGAAAGGATACGTGTATGCGAGTAGGATGTACGAGAAGTTGTCGCCAAGATCGAAGGACGTAACTACTTTCGTCCTGAAACTCAGTGCTCTGGATTCGTCGGCGCGGGTTTTGTTATCATTGATACGCACTTTCCGCCCTATTCGTTGTTGTTGTCATTTAACGAATTGATCGTCGTCCCGTGGACGGCAGTGGAGCCTCATTCGCCTAACACTCTATGCAGCGATTGTGGTCGCTTCGAGCGTTACGAAGCCAAGGGTTTCCACTATCGTACACATGGCGAGGATGAGCACAAAGAGAAGGCTACTCGATTAAGGCCCTCCACATCGGACTCGGAGTTGTGTAACAAGCGTCGACGAGACCTCATCTGAAAATGGGATACCACGTGTGTACCCGCCCCCTTTCACGTGAAACGAAGAGCGACGGCTCGTTGGGAAGTCCAGCGGTACTTTTTGGATTGAATTTCCCATAGCTGCGAGTCCCGCGCGCGCTTTTTTCTCCCTAAGATCCATGCGACGATGAACCTTTTTCTTGCTACAGTCGGACCAACACGGGGGATTTCAGTTTTGTCAGTGTCCCCGCACTCAATTTGGCACACCCCATCTTTGCTGCCTTTCCCGGGCCCCTTTCCGCAAACCAAAACACTCCGACCGAAAAGCAGCGCAAGGCGTGAGGTTAAGCGTCACACAGGGGAAAAGAGAAAGGAAGGAGGTGCCTACAGTCGGCATGCCTGGGCTGCGGCGCAGGGGACGTGGCCACTCTCAAGGCATCGATCGAGTCATGCGCAACTTTGGCCAATGAGACGAAGGGGAAGAAGCCACATGTTTTGCCGCGAAGAGAAGCCAAGAGGGAGAAGATTACAGTTAAAACCGCCCTTGCCAAGAAAGGAATAAGAGAAAATTACAGTTGAGATTAGAATTAAGGTCCGGCGGGAGTAGAGTGCAGGACAGAGCGCAGCAAAATGTGTGAGAGTAAGAAGCATCGTGCAGTTACAAAAAAAAAATACGATGTCCCCAAAATCCTCGTCTAATTAGAATCCCAATTCTGAGCGCCCGCGCTGTCTCCCGCATTCTTTCCAAAACATTCAAAAATAAAAAAAGATTTCCCCGCGCGATGACCGAGCCAAGTTCCCTGCCTGAATTTCCCAAAAGAAAAAGAAAAGTTGTGTCAACCATTATTCCTGCGTGTGATACACAAAACCTCACGCCCCCTCGCGACTTCCCGTACCGGGTCGCCGATCAGAGTTATAGGAGGGGCGTGGCCGAGGATTTGTTTTTGGCCGTAGGGGTTGAGTCTCCCGGTCGGAACGAGAGGCTCTCGTTTCGAACCAGAGGTTATCTCGGGATTGATCTTTCGCCACTGAGTCCCGTGGAGGTCGGGGCAGTCCAGGGTAACGAAAATCGAATAGTTCCGCAAAGACGAATTGACGTAGTGAATCAAAACGAAGAAGGGCAGCAAGGGGAGGAGGCCACGATGGCTAAGGACCGAAGACCGGGTCGTCAGGTTTTCGTTGCATAGGTGGGTGGTTCGAGGCCTTCAAGCCTCGTCGTCGGACTCACAAAGTCCGCACGGGAGTTCCCGAGAGCGTAAAGTGGCGGGAGAACTTGCCGACACCCGAATTCGAAATTGCGCGGGCAGCGCCCCCACATTACGGGAGAGCTCAGGGAAACGTGCCGCTCCCTCGTAACCCAGGACCAGTCGTCGCCAAGAACACGAGTCCCCCTGGTGACACCAGCGACAATCAAACTGCGGCCTCCACTCGGCGTGAGCGGCCGACCAGTGCAACACAGTCAAATCCGTATAAGGCAATATTAGAGTCGGGGAATCGAAACAATCAATTAAGACGAACCTGTCTCCCCTAATATTAAACGCCCGGGGTGGGTCTCGCCAACAGACTTGCTCCGTTCGACTCACAGTGCGCCGTACATCCGCATCGCAGTAGACGCCGTTGTCATCTGCGATGGGAAAGGCCAGTAGCGAGATGGAACGATCGGAGGTAGGGGATGAACACGGGCCAGACCCCGCGCTCCCGGTCATAGGTAACAACACCGTCTCCATACAACACTCGATGCGACCCTTGTCTCTCAAGGTTAGTGCGTCGAGAGAAGATGATGAAATCTAAGTTCTCTTCCTCGTCGCGGGGGCGTCGACCGAGCGTGCGGACGCCGGCGGTGGACATCACCGGTGCAGGGACGAGGAGTTCAGAAACGATGATTACCAATTCAAAAAGAAGGGAGAGAGAGAGAGAGAGAGAGAGAGAGAGAGAGAGAGAGAGAGAGAGAGAGAGAGAGAGAGAGAGAGAGAGAGAGA